AAAGACCTAAATATAAATATCACTAAGTATTAGTCATATATTTCTCGCCACTATAATAATGATAGTCTAGATTTATCAATAATCCCATTACTACATCAAGATATATCGATTAAGGAGAAAACAAGTAAGATCATATCGGAGATAGGGTCCATTTGGTAAACAAAATATATTGTTTGGAAATCCTACTTTAAACACCTCACTAGATCTAGCCTAGACATCACTCCCATAAGTAGATCAATCAATATTGTGACATGGAATCACTGATAAATCTTGTTTATAGGTTCATAATAACGATAATGAACTGAAGAATAAGTTACACTTAAAGCATATAAGTGCAGCTTAACTTACAGAGTTTTTTTGACAAAAGTACGGAAAATTCGCAGACAAAACTCCGACCCGAAAGCTTCTAGTTGTTGAACTCCGCGATGACTCCGAGCCCTTCTAAAATGCTCTAAAAGACTAGAGAAATTGGACTTAAGAAAAGAAGTAACTCATAGAGAAAGAGACTTGAATTCTGTGAGCAAAATGGCTGATTTTCGACATTATTTATAGCAGTTATAGGTACGCACACCGTGCTCAAGGCTGACGCAGTACAGTATCTTGCAGTGCCACATGTCAGATATTGGATAGTCTGCATCGCGCCTTTTAGAACGTTTCCACGTGTCACCATTCTATGGTGCCACATTTCTGCTTCTCATGGTACCATGTCGGCTGGTCGGTGGAAGTCTATGGTGCTATCTTTGCCATGTGGAACGCTCTCGGGTCGCCACGTCATCATAGCACGTATTTTCCTGAAATCTTCGAATGACCATAAATTTTGCATACAAGCTCTGTTTTCGACGTTCTTTATGTCCTCGAAATCCTCTCGAGGAGTACTACAACTTTCCTTCATGTCTAAATATCTAATTCTCACACTATCCTAAATTCATATATTTATACAGATTAGGCTGTTAAAGTCCGTGTGAAAATCATAACTCCTTTATACGAACTTCGTTCTCGACTGTCTATATATCAATGGATTCCTATTCATAAGATCTTTAACTCTCGTTTACATTGTTTTGACTAACAATTAACTGATTTTAAATTCGATTTCTGTGTCAACACTACTACACCGAAACTTTGAAAAATCATAACTTTCTCATACAAAGTCAGATATTGGTGTTCTCTATATGTATGCTATTTCTTTTACGATTAGTACGACTGTCGTTTAGATTACTTAGACTAATAAGCAACCTATCTCTAACTCACTTTTTACGACATGCTTGCCGTATACGTTTGAACGCGAAACTTTAAAGGATCATAAATTCTTATACGAAGTCAGATCTAAGCGTTCCTTATAGCCACAAGATTTTCATTACGACTATTACATATGTAGTTAAGATTATTGATTCTATAATCACCTTCTAATTAAAATTTTATTTATCGCCCGTAACGCATACGACGAATAAATGTCCTATACGGGGATTTTAATTATAAATATATATCACTTATTATATTTCAATGTTTAGCCCAAATTTGCAGGCATTACTGACTGATATACAACTAAACTTGAATATTGTAGTTGATATACTAAACGCTCTAGAATTCCATAGAGCGTTAAACGCCACGATTCATGCCATTACTTTCTAGGAAGGATAACGTTTAGGATCTACTAGATCACCGCACGAATATGACAAATCATTGACAACAATACCATTTCTAGAGGATGATCAGGTTGTGCCACACTCTCCTAAGCCAAAGAATACCCATTTTCTGAGGTTCCTATACCACTATCTCCTTATCCCCCGACAAGGAAACACACGAGGAGGATAGTCCCGCTGGAGAAGAAGAGACAAATGAACAACCTAAGGAAGAAGTTGAACACCAATCGTAGGAGGATCCAGAAGAAGAATAAGAAACAAATCCCCTCAGTGGGGAGAAGAATCAACTACCTATCCATCCCCTCGAGACATCCTTTGATCCTGCCATACCTACTCTGGCCGCTCAGACCACATACCACGCTAATCGGATCTGCACTGTCAACAATAAACTAAAGACCATCGAAGGGAACAACATGGACTAGTCTAACAGGGTCCAAATCTTAAAGGACGATCGAAGGATAGATGAAAGGGATTAAGGCTCTAGGCATAGGTCACAGAGCAAAGGACAACCACTAGATAGACTAGTGCCTATGCATTAGATATAAGAGCCCACTCCACTCAGCATCATGTCTCTGACCTAGCTTCTTCACTAGATACCATCTTTGAGTTATGGTAGGCTTACTCTAACATAATGTACTATAATATCTTGGAACTAAGGATACACGGAAAGGACATTATAGGTAAGTGTATAGTATCCTCACCATCTCTTTCGACATAGTCCTTCGGATGTTAGTACATCAAACTTTTCCACACTAACCCCACTAAACTCTCGTGGTTTTTAACCAACTTTTAGAAAAAATGAAGTTGTACAAAGAAATATATACGAAATGAGTGTTACTACAAACCAACTCATTCATTTATCATAAAGGAATCATAAACCAACTTCTCAGCTACCTCATATGATGTTTTACAAATCACAATATATTAATCCTGACGAGATTCCTAAAAAAATTTGCACTAAGTCATGCGCTTGAAATAATAATCGTTACTCACATTTGGATGACTAACGAAAAGCTTCAAACAACTAACGTACTCTTCTTACATTAACTATTATAGGGACTGAATCATGCCTCCAATACGAGTCACCAGATGCAATCCTGGAACATCAATACCAAACCCAAATCCAACACCAATGTACTAAGCCGCCATGAAGGCACTAATTGCTCAATGCGTCGCGGGCGCTCTGGCTAAATACGAAGCCAATAGGAACACTGGATCCGGAAGCAGTGCTGGAGGCGGAAGTAGCTCAAATATCAACAATGGAGGAGGCCTAAGGACCTCTACATATAAAGACTTCATGAACCGCAAGACGAAGTCTTTTACAGACATGAAGGAGTTGTTGGACTGACTCTTTGAATCGAGAAAATGGAGTCGGTGTTCGAAATAAGATTTTGTGCCACAGACTGCAAGGTCAGGTTTGTCTCTTGTACCTTCGCTGATACATCATTGACATGGTGGAACGGACATGCCAAAACTATGGGCATTAGCACAGCTAATTCCATGTCCTGGGATGAACTGAAACAATTATTGATTGATGAGTACTGTCCCAGAGAAGAGATACAGAAGCTGGAGTAAGAACTCCGGAACCTTACCATGAAGGATGCACATATTGCAACTAATACCAACTGCTTCAATGATCTTGCCATTTACTACCCCAGCTTGGTCACCCCAAAGTATAAGAAGGTGGTGAGATACATATGAGGTTTGGTTAAGCCAACTCAAGGATTGGTAACTGCTTCCAAGCCAAGTATGTACGATAGTGCCAAGAGGCTAGCCTTTAACCTAACCAATCAGGAAATCCGCCAGGGCACTATGGTCCAAAAGACTGACCTTCCGATGTCTGGAAACAACAAGATAAAGTCTGATGGTGATTCAGGGCAACCTTCATGGGGAGAAGATGACTTAGGGAAAAAGTACGCAATGATTATCCCATCACCCACTCCACTAAGACAATATGCAAGTAATCTCCCATTATGCAATAAGTGCAACTAACACGACATAGGTGCATGTAGACAACCGGTTTGCAATAACTACGACAAGAACTCCATACCACTAGGTTCTATAGGAGCCCGACACTTATTGAAAACGAAGGAACTAGTACCAGTGGAAATCACAACTATTTTGAGTGTGGAGAAGCTGGCCACTTCAAGAAGGATTTCCCGAAATTGAGAGATCAATGAGGCAATGCTCGTGGAAGAGTATTTTTGATTGGTGCGAGAGACGCTAGCCATGATCCACCCATTCGAACTGGTACACCCTTGTTACCAATGTTCATATAAACTAAATAACAATAGAAATCTTATAAGCACTAGTTTTAGACATGGGTTAACACATAAATCTGGTAAAAACTAAGAAACCTATGTTTGTTAACTATTGGATGGATACGTAAGTTGCATGCTTATAAAATTAAACAGTTTTAGAATGTTCGATTTGTCTCTATTGCGCAACTCTTGTTTGACTCCTACCGTTATAGAGTTGAATCCTTCAATTGAAAGACTATTTAAATATATCGACATGTATTAGTATTCATCAGATAGTTAGTTAGCATTAGTCAAATTTTCTTCCTCTATGATTAGCGATGTGAAGTGGAGGAACCCTCGTCTAAACCCTCGTTAAGATGCTTAGGACCCTTTAAAAGTATTAATATTAATTACAATACTTCTCGACTACTTACGGGAGAGGTGACTAGTTGGAACTATCACTTGGGTTGCTGGATTTAAGAACAACTATTTGCTAAAATTGTCCTACCCTCCGGTACTTCTCACATCGCCGAACCTTATTTGATAGTCTTGGAGTACAAAACATGAAAGACAATAAGATATACGCAACCCAAAAAAGATTAAAAGATATAGAGCAATATAGATATGCTGATAGAAATATATCTACTACCCACCAACATGAATCCACGAAATCGCAACTCAGGATTTCAGGTCAAAAACCATATTTAGCGTTGGTATAGTACAACGGTCATACCACAACTAGACCTAGAATATGCAACTAGGTTTTATTATGGTCCGACCGACGCATGATCAAACTCGGATGCGGTGGTTGGCAAACTAAACGCTTGAGGACTTCAGTATTGGATACATAGACAAGGATTCTATACTGGAAGATTTCTTTTAGAGGCTTCTACATCTGAGGATTTATGGAATAACGACATCTACGTGTGAGGATTTTTTTCATAACGACATCTACGTCTGGGGATTTCTAGCTCAACGACATCTATGTTTGAGGATTTCTGGCTTAGGATTTCTATCTATTACATAGTTATAAATGGATACAATATTATATTTAATTGATCTTCACATCTCTTATAAACATCTTTACTGTTTGATGTCTTATGCAGGTTTGCCCGAGAGTATGGAAGGAGCAGGATCATGGAGTGCAGTTTCCCTACCATCAGAGGAGAATGCAGTACATGGTGCTTCTGACCCTATTGACAAACCAGCATTGACTGTGGCTTCTGAGGAGGATCCAATGGAGGATAGTGATGACACCGTGCCCGACTATACTCCAGCTGAGCACCCGTCTGAGCCCGACTATACCCTAACTGATCACTCCAGCCCAGAGCCTTCCGAGCCCATTCATTCACCAGACTACACACCAGTTGGACTCGAGCTTCTCAGCTCTGAGTATAAGCCAAACGAGGATGAGGAGGATTCTGCCACCTCCCCAGAGATCTCACCACCTCTTCCTACTCCCTGATCACATCGTCTCTGCTTTATTGGTACTCAGGTTACCCCGAGAAATACCCCACTCATATTCCGTCTTGAAAGAGAGCAGCATCCCCTCCATCATCACCACCACCAGCGAAGAAACCATGTGGAGACGCCACTTGGATGTCGAAGATTAGAGCTTGGATACAGAAGGTGGATATTAGCTCGCATTTCGAGCTGGGGATTCCTCTACATAGGAGCGATGGACTCCGAGCTCTTTCTTTTGAGGATGGCCCTGAGGCAGCTTATAGAGAGGGTATAGTATCTTAAGGAGGAGAGGGATGTGATAGAGATGAGGACCATACTCATTTAGGACCAGTTGCAAGAGGCGAGGGATGAGGCTCAGTTCTATCATCCGATGTTGGAGAAGGTTATCAAACACACAGCGAGGTTGGAGCTCTAGGTAAAGAGGACATAGTCACGAGTTTCCTTTTCAGATGTTTGGATCGATTATGTGTATAGATAGTTAGTTCAATTGATGGCTCTTTTGGTTATGTACTGCGAATATTAGTTTCTTTTTTCTCCCTAGCATGATGGCTAGGATGGACAAGATTATATTTTTGGGTTAGAGTGCTAGAAAAGCTCACTAAACATACTTTCTTATTTTCTAACCTCAGAGCTTTTCTTCCTCTAACCACCCATTTTTTTTGTGGCCTCACTGTATGATAATATAATGCATAATATACTTATATGGTTGCAAAAGTTCTATGTTATTGTGTTATTCCTCTACTGCTTCAGTTAACACTAACACTAACACACAAGGACATAACCATATCCACGAGGACACCAACTCACAAAAGCGATCAAATAAATCACATCTCGACACTAACTTTAGGAATTTAGTAATGGAACCCCCAAGACTTACCAGATCCAGCCAAGGTCTTCAAGCTCAGCAAGACGTCCAATCTGCTCTGAGTAACCCACCTCTGGACCATACGACTCTCGAAGCCATGGTTGAGCAGAGAATAATTGATGCTCTAGCAACACTTGCGATCAATCTTCACACAAAATCTAGGATAGGAGCGGGAGGTGAATGCTCCCAAGTAAACCATTAAGGTGATCCAAGAGCACATACAAGGACTTTGCAAACTACAAGCCAAAAACGTTCTATGGGAAAGAAGGGGTCGTAGGCCTCACGAGATGGATTGAGAAGGCTAAGTCTGTCTTCGAAATCAGCTCTTGTGCGGAAGAATGCAAGGTAAAGTTCGTCACATGCACTTTTGTGGATGCGGCCATGTCTTGGTGGAACAACCCCGTCAATACCCTAGGCCTCGCCAACGTTAATGCTTTATCTTGGGAGCAACTGAAGCAAATGTTCATCGAGGAATATTGTCCTAGGGAGGAAATGCAACATTTGCAGCAAGAATTATGGAACCTGAAGATGAGCAACACCGACATCTCGACCTACTCCAATAGGTTCAATGATCTCAAGACCCTTTGTCCAAACTTCGTGAATCCCGAGTATATCAAGGTAGAAGTTACATATGGGGATTGGTTCAACCCATCCAAGGGTTGGTCACAACATCTCGACCAACAACATAAGATAGTGCCAAGAGGTTAGCATACAACTTAACTAAACAAGAGAAAAGACGAGGCACTTTGGTCCAGAAAGATGACATCCCGAAGTTAGGGGAAAACAAATGCAAATTTGGAAGCAAATTTAAGGGTACCTCCAAACAAGACCCAAGCAAGAGACATGAAACTTTCAAGGCGTACACCGTCAGTCCAGTCCCAACATCGGCTGCAACCCCCACACCCCAAGGACAATACGCAGGTATACCCCCGAAATGCATGTTGTGAAACTTCCACCACTCCGGCAACTACATGTATTGTACCAGGTGCAATCGTAGAGGGCATACCGTATACTACTGTCGACAGCCCGCGACTGCTCCTGCCGCTATAACCTACCTAGGGGTGGTGTCACAACTCAAAATTTTAGACCTAGCAAAGCCTAAACCCTAACCTAGCACAAGTGAACTTACATTGCATCTCTTGTTGCCTTATGTCCTCTATAGCCTTTAGGGTTGTTATAAGCTAAATAACTAGACTTGGATTGAAGACTAAGTTGGTTTAGGGTTGTATAAATCAAATTTTGGCAAAAGATAAAGGGTTAAATGATAAATTATCACAATTAAATGGTGAATTCGGTCATTTAATCCATTTGAACACTAAATTCGGTTTAGGGAATCTAATCTAAATGGAGTGTTCGACCATGTAATTCAAATAAAATGTGTGTTCGGTCTTGGCATGACCGAAAACACAAAGAACATGGCCCATTAGGACCAAACACACACATTGTCAAGCCCACTAACACCGAATTCCCAATCCTATATATATACATTCAGCTAAACACCCAATTCATTTCACACATTCCTCACCAAATTCTTGCCAAATTTTGCTCTCAAAACTCATGTGTTTTTGCCCATAAGATCTTCAAATCTTCTTATTCTCCCGAAGAACACCAAGAACGCACACTCATATATTCAAATCTTCAACATCCCACCGAATTCATCAAGTCTTGACCGAATTCCCACTTTTGCTCACCAAACACAGATTTTCAACATTTCCCAATTAATTCCCAACTAAATTGTAAGTCCTCCTTTTATATAATTAAATTATTATTTAACCCTATTATTTAAATTAATATCTTATTAATTTAAATACGACGACGAATACAATTACTTTTAGGGTAACGTTATTAGCACGTACGCTTACCCGGGGATCGTCTCTACAACTCACTACTTCTAATTAACGCACATCTAAGGTGAGTTCATACCCCTACGTTTTTAAATGTTTTTAATATTTTTAGGGGGGGGGGAATACAAGTAAAACACAAGTTCTATTGTGTTATACAAATATTTTAAATATTTCAAAAACCTTTGCAATTGTTTCATAACGAGTATTCACTACACTTTCTAAAAATATTTTATATATTTTCACCCTTTTGTAATATGTCGAGCATAAGGGTATTCAACTTTTATACAATTAAATTGCAAACGTTTTTAGTACATTACATTACGATTTCAGGGCATTACAAAACATTACAAATAAACTATAATTGGTATAGTTTTGAAATTTCTACGTTACTTTGCTAAGAACAATACACGGAATCAAAACATCTATTCAAACTATAATAGGTATAGTTTGGGAAGCACTACTCTAATACAATGTTACAAGAACACACTACTAAATAATTATTTTAAATATAATTATTTTATTATTACAAGTACATCACTACAAGGTTATACATACATATTCAAATAACAGAAAAGGCCACTACACCACACTATATGTAAACTAGTTAATACAGGGTTGTGGGGCACTACTTTGTTGTACCCATTAGGGTACCGTTTCTAAATCCTATAAAGTATAACCAGAGTCTCCTAGAAGGAGAGCGTGAGATTTATGTATAGATCTATACGGGAACTGACAATCCCATGCGCCGACTGCTAGCTACAGTTGGAACGGAAGTTCAGGGGTAACAAATGTCATTTCGTTCGGACGCCTGAAGAAGATCGCAGAGGTCACTAGGTCATATCAAGTATGGTTATATGAAACTCACAACAGTATTCTAACACACATGTTTACGGGATTAATATAACTTCATTGGTTTTATATTACTTAAATAAAACTATATTACTCTATGGTACACTATTTTACACTACAGTTGGGGTATCCAGATATTCATACAAGGTTTTCATACAAACACTACAAGGATACACTACTCTACGCTACAACTGACGGTAACATACACACATACAAGGGTATTCATACAAAAATACATTCAATACACTATTCTAGTAATAAGTGCGCCACTACAACATACATTTTTCAAGGAATACACATGACTTCATAACATTCACTATAGAAAATATTGGATTTTCTGGAAAATCATACTAGCATTTTCTAAATACAAACACAGTCATATTACATTACTTTTCCAATTACGAGTCAACGGAACTTACATAACATCAGAAAATATAGGATTTTCTGGAAGGATATACTTACCTTTCAAAAAGGACCATTACAGTTAACTCTGTAAGTACTTAGTGAATGTGATAGGGTTATATACAATAAAGATCCGACAGACAGTGGGATGTGTGATTTCCACCTCATTTTATGTTCCTTGTTTGGTTGTGGGCTTCGGGCAGAACTACATAGTCGATTGTCTGTTCGATCCAAATTATATATAACTTTTGTACACTAAGTACTCGTAGAAGGAACTATCATGGGATACATTTCTTACTTTACATCACATCGGAAAATATAAGAATTTCTGGAAGAACATACTAAGGTTTTCAAGGATCAAAGGACATATTTTCTCAAAACAAATGCTTATGAACTCACCAACTTTAATGTTGACACACTTTCAAAAACCACTTGTATTCTCAGGACACTAGTAGACAGGTACACGCACCGGGTTCCGAGAAGACGGAGCATAGTAGCTTCAAGTCTTTACTTTGCTATTTACTAGTGGAGTCAATCATATGTGATTCAAATATGATGTAAACACTATATTATCAGTATAATGGTTGTGGTTGCTTTTATTACTATTATTCAATTGTTCTAATACTACACATGACGTCCTTCGCCCCCGAACGTTTCCGCCGTTCCGGTTTGGGGGTGTGACAGGTGACTACCTTGCCAGAAAATCGAGCTTGTTTTGAGTGTGGGATTACTAGGCACATCAAGAGGAACTGCCTGAAGCTGAGGAACGATGGAGGGAACGCCCGGGGAAGTGCGTTTGTGATTGGCGCAAAGGATGCCATCTAGGACCCCACCGTTGTAATATGTATGTTTCATGTTTACGGTTTACACATATCTATACTCTTCGATTCCGGTGTGGAAAGTAGCTTTATTTTACCTAAGTTTAGAGAACTTTTAAACCATAAGTCTAGGAACTTAGATGAGCCTTATGTAGTAGAAATGGACAACGGATAATCAGGTAGTACTTAGGAAATACTAGAAAGTTGTCTTCTAACTCGCTAA